GGCACAGAAGGGGGGAGGGATGCGGTGAGCTGTGGTGGCCGGTTGGCGGGAGACGAGGATGGGGCGGGCGAGGGTGGCGGGGCAGGCAGAGGAAGGTGGCGACAATAAAAGACAGCAGGGATGGAGAGCGAGGCTCAATCTGGAACGATGGATGGCTAATGGCCTGTACGTTCAGTAGCCGCTCGTAGCGGGCACGTGGCACGGGAAAGATATTTTTGGTTACTTTTCTCCAGGCAACGACACTTATGATTTGCATCGCCGTCATGGATGCGTACAGGAATCATATCTCGGGCTGCGCAGCTTTTGATTGCGTGCACCCTCCCCCTTACACGCTGCCCCTCGTACAGATTCCTTCTCCACCCCCGAGGAGAAGCAAACCGGCTCGAGTCGAGTTCAAAGCCAGCCCGGACTTGTCGTCAAGCCTAATAATTCCGCCTTCACACATGCTTCCTCGTCAAACGAACAAGGCCTCGCAGTCTACACACCAAACCAACCCCCTTCCAACAGCTGAACTGTACAGTAGAGGTAATTTTCAATTTCAAACCGGTGCGGAAAGCGGTACGTTAATGTGTACAAAACGGCATCGAGTCGCACAAGCCGACACTAAGCGTTGACGCGTTCTTCAACGAATTTATGTACATGCGAAAGTCTAGCGAGTCCTTCCCATCGAAGTTACAGCGAAAGGCAGCGAAAGATGGTGACATTATCGTTGCAGGCGCGACAGGGAGATGTCTCTCTGACCGAGAGCTACTGTACAGTAGAGCCAACACAGAGAAAACGAAACGATACGGGTTTACAGAGAGTCTGACAATTGATGGGGTGAGCTGGGTGAGTGGCCTCCGCCCAAGGAGCGCAGCGAGATGCGCAGCCATCTCTCCTGCCGTCAGGCACCTCCCTTGCATTGGACCCCTCATCCTATCACACCTCAGAACCTCAACGAAGAAGTCCACCCCTCGCCAGAGCACCATCGCACACTCAGAAGAAAGGCCAAGCGGATGTTCAATCGGAAATGGAACGGGCTGTGTCCCTCGCCAGAAATCCTGGAATAGATTTTTGGATTTTTTGGTGCCACTGTGCTTCATTACCTCGTGTTTTATAATGAAAAGATACGTCTTTTAAGCCCGCCCGAGGCGCCATCTGAAGGAATATAAAGATGAATCTCACACAAGATCCGAAATTCCAGAAACGATGAGTTTCGGATCATTCAATCGGCTCTAAGAGCAAGATCGACAAGCCCCGTGCTGACAAAGCATCTGTGATGTCGCCCCATGACCGACTGCTTTCAGTGAGAGGCGTACCAAGGGTACCGTAGACCGGCAGAACGGCGGGGAGAGGCGGACCGCAGACGCCGTCGGTGGTCAGAGCGGAGAGCCAATCGGGGAGGGCGGGCGAGAAAAAACCGCCTTGATTGGCTCTGGAGGCCAGGGAACGAACGAGGCCGGTGTGGCTGCCGGCCGTCTGCGACCAGTCACAGGCGCGCCCACCGGCCGTTGCGCTTGTGCCATTTGCGCCACTACAAGTACTGTATGATACCGCGCCTCATACATGCCCGTGTCGCGTGGGAGAAGCGGTCGCACGACGGCACGTCGTCGTCCTGGTTGTGCAGCGCCACGAAATTATCTCTAATTTTTCGCCAATTCCGCTCCGCCGCATCCACTCTGTCCAACCACCGTCGCAGAATCCCTGCCTTACACACGATTTACCTTACAGAACCGCACGCCACCACGCCTCCAAAGCCACCGGTCGTCGTCGTCCGCTACCACACTCCCTGGCCAATTCATACCCAAATTTCCTCCCCAACGGCCGTTTGCCTGGGCACCCCCCATTCCAGCCCTATAAATCCATTTTCCCTCGCCGTACCCCCCCCCCTCGTCCCGCTTTCGCTTTCTAAAAGGTAGCGGAACTCGTCTCGCGAACGAGTCACCGAACCTTGTCGCGATTTTATTTCACACTGGAACGAGCCATGCCCACCGACCCTCCCACCGTGAACCCTTCTAACGCTGCGCCCCACGGCAAAGCAGTCCCACCCCCTGCTCACCCTTCCCAGCAACCCCACCACAGGTCTCTCCCGCAGCAGCAGCAGCGTCATCTGCGCTTCCCTCAACAGCACCATTCCCTGCTGCAGCCTCCTAATCCCATTCCCTTGTCTCACCATACCCAACCGCAACATATCCCTCGTCAGTATGCTGCCTTGAGCTCGGCTCGAAACATCTCACCAATGCAACAGCAAGGTCTTTCTCAACCTCCTCACCAAATCCCCCCACAACAACCTCAACAGCAACAAGCCCGTCAGCATCCTCGCCCTAATTTGAATCCCCACCAGCAACCACCTCAGCAACCCTACTATGTCAACGGCGGTTATCCGGGTCTCAGTGCTTACCCCCCGCAAGTCGCCGCCCAGTACGGGCTAAGCCCAAACTATGTCTTCACTCCGCAAGCACCGTACTACAATGGCATGCAACCGCAGGGCCCACCTCAACAACCGGGACCTCATAACCCGAGGTCCCAGAGGCCCTACTCCCGCAATATACCTCCGCAAGCCGCATCTCACCAACCCCAGTCGCGAGTTACATTGCCTCCGCCGAAGAAGCAAATCCTCGCCATCGTCGATCCGGATACAAATGAAGAGGTCAAGGTTGACAGCGTGGACAAAAAGCAGCCTGTTCGCACTCCCCCGGTCCCCGTCTCCAAGACCGCCGTGAAAATTCCCCCGCGCACCTCTCGTCCGCTCGAGCTCGTAACTGACCCTGCCGACGCAATCCCGAAGCAGGGTGCGGCAGACAAGGTACCGAATACTGCCCCGTTACAAGTCCTCACCAAACAGAGTACATCAGACAAATCGAAGGACCTCGTATCGGAGAATAAGCAGGATCCTATTGCAAGTGCCGAGGCAGCTTCCCCGGTCGAGTCATCGGAGAAGACACCATCGACCAAGTCTGGCACTTCCGTCAGCACAGCGCGCGAAAGCACTTCTGACAAGCCCGCGCAGCTGAATTCTTCGATACCAGTGAAGTCGATTGTGTCTACATCCAGTACTGACGTAAAGAGCCCTAATGACCGGGGCGTCTCGAGACCTGTCGTGGCAAGTGTCTCTACGCCTTCTAATATGCCTGAGCCGACAAAAGAGGTGGAGAAGAAGTCTCCGCCCGGTCCCGCTGCAGAAATCTCGACGAAGTCATCCCCCTCTGCCGCGTCGGGTGCCTCAAAGCAGATATCAAGTCCCACGGTTGTAGCATCAGAGCCAGTGAAGCCCGTAGATTCGGTTTCGCGTTTAGGCGTTTCCGAGTTACAATCCGCTACTTCTGCGGAAAACGAAACCGCTGCAGCTCGAAGTACAGGACCACCACCGCAGCATCCGGCGAGCCCGCCTGGAGCCCAAGGTGTAGAAAACCAGGAGGATGCTTCCGTGGAAGCCGACAAGGATTCCGAATCTGAGACAACGGCAGGTCTCCCGAGCTATATTTTCGGAGAAGGAGAGCGCCGCGTCTACCCTCCCGGTTTTACTCATGCACTTCAAGAAATGGTCACCCCCGAGAGAGACGCATTTTACAGGAATATTTTGTCCAACAGAAATATTCTGAAAGGCGGTGCGCCCCCAGCTGGCGGTGATAGTTACGGACGAGGAGGTCAGCAACGAAGAGGAAACTCGGCTTCATCGAATGAGGGTCGCTGGGCCAGAAATCCCCAGCCACAGAAATCTACCACTTCACGATTCTCGGTATCAAGAGGGGCTCCAGCTCCGGTCGTCGGCAGCGGCGTTGGTTCATACGACCCTTTTGACCTCCGCTCCGCTCGCTCGCAGAATCCCCCGCCTGCCCCGAAGGCACAGCCAACTCAAGGGCGCGGCAATCAGGATCCGCGCGGTTCCCATATGCGAATGGATGGTCCAACACGCGGGGGCCATGGTCCAATTGATCCGTTTGTACCAGTTGCACCACCTGTTGAGAAGCTTAAAAGGTCGGAGAATGGATGGAAGCGCAATAAGGAGTCTGATGACGTCGTCACTTCCAAGGTCAAGCAAATACGTTCTTTGCTCAATAAGCTCACACTTGAGAAATTTGACAAGATTTTCAAACAGATTATTGATATCAACATCTCAAGCTATGAAATTTTGACCGGTGTCGTGAGGGAGGTTTTCGAAAAAGCCCTTTTTGAGCCTAAGTTTTCAGGGATGTATGCCGAGTTGTGCGTTCGCCTTGACCTCGCAACAAGGGAGATGCTTCAACAGGCTAGTATCGTAGACGATAGAGGCAGGCCTATCTTCTTCAGAAACATCTTGCTGAACAACTGTCGAGACGAATTTATCAGGTTTGCGAAATCCAGCGAATCTACAGAGAAGGACAAACAAACTGAGGAGGACGACCCTGCGAAAGAAGATAAAACAGATTCAGCAACAGAAGAAGCTTCTGTCGAGGAAGCGAAAAAGCCTCTTACACCGAAGGAAAAAGCCGCAAAGGAGAAAGCCGCAGCCGGTAAGGCCGCCGCCAATGCCACTACGGCAAAACGAAGAATGCTTGCTAACGTGCGATTCATTGGGGAGTTATTCCTGAAAGATCTCTTGAGAGAACAAATTATCCACAAACAATGTATTCAGCGTCTCTTGAAGATTGGGATTGAGAGCAGAGAGGAGGATGTCCTCGAAGCGTTATGTAAGCTGTTAAGCAAGACTGGCGCGAAGCTTTCGCAGAACAAGGACGCGATTCAGCATATCGACAACTACTTCAAGCCATTACAGACTATGTCGAGGGACCACACTCTACCGGCACGCGTACGTTTCATGCTTCAAGACTTGCTCGAACAGAGACAGAACAACTGGAAGGTAAGGAGGGAAGAAGTCGGCGCGAAGACTATCTCGGAGATTCACAAAGACATCGAAAAGGAAGAACGAGCCAAAGCAGAGGCACAAGCTGCGGCTCGTGAAAGAAGAGGTCGGGGTGGTGGTATGCATTCTCGTCATAGAGGCCCACCGCCCTTTTCGCACGTGACAATGACGATGGCTGACATGAAAAAGTCAGGTGGAAGTGTTTCAAGATCGGCTGCCATTCTGGAGAAACATGGTGGTATGCCTTCGTCTCGCAAACTATCAACAATGAATGCTGCCTCACTTCGACCTGGTGGGTCAAGGCCAAGCTATGGGGCATTCGGTCCTCTGGGAGAGAGCCGTGACGGCAGCTCAGGCATGCGAAGCGGAGATGCCCGTCGCAATATGAGCAACGATAAGAGAGTCGCCTCCTCTCGACGCCCAGCTCCGGTCAAGCCAGCGGCGCCCGTTGAGCAAAAGCCGAAGATCATGGAACCTGAGGTCCTCAAGCGAAAGGCAAGAAGCATTGCACTAGAATACTGGTCAATTGGGTTGATCAAAGAAGCCCAGGAATGTATCGTCGAAGAGGTGAAGCCTGTGAACTATGCGAAATTCCTGCGTGAGATCATTAAGTTCTCACTCAGCGCAAAGGTTCAAGACCGGCTGAAATCAATTTCGCTTCTGGTTGGGTTGCTTGGAGATACCATTTCAGAGACTCTTTTCATCTCGGCATTTTCGGACGTCGTTGCCGAGCTGTCTGATATCGAAATGGACGATCCCCGTGCAAGTGAATTTCTTGCGAAGTATGTCGCGGCCATCGCGTGCTCTGGAAAACTATCAGCCCAAAAGAGCGATGTGTTCGGCCTTGACTTCCTTAAGAAGGCCTTGCCATCAATTGGTGATGCCAAGAGGGAATCGAAGTTCGTCATCTGTATTTTCGCAGATATTTACGAGCACCTAAGCAAAACCATAGCAGACGAAGAACAAAATAAGAATGCAATAAGGAACGCATTGACTGCACTTGATGTAGATCTTTCCGCGAGGATGTACTCATGGAACGCGCAAATAGGAATGAAGTCTCTTGACTCAATGCTGAAAGACGCTGGCATTTCTTTCGTTGTCCCTCTGTTACCAATGCAGCTCCGATTAAAGGAAACCTTGGAAACCTCTCCCTCTGCAAGTGCGTTGGAGAAGGTATTCAACTCCTCAGAACAACCAAAAGACGATCTCCGAAGCCCGTCGTTTATGAAGATGGTGATCAGGACATCATTTGACTGGTTGTTCATGAAGCCTCCATCTAGTGTGAAGGACGTTTTCGGGGAAGTTGTGGGAAAGCCTCTCGTCCAGTCTTTCAACGGAGAAATCCCGCGGGATGTGCAGATGGCTGCCCTACTGGAAACGCAGTCATTTATCGTTCGAAACTTAGATATATTGCCCGCCCACAAGGAAGGCGACTACGACAAGCCAGGTAGTATCGTGTTTGATAGCCTTTATTTCGCAGATGTTGTCGAAGAGGACACATTTCTGGGATGGAGGGAGGACACTGATGAGAGCACACGGGTAGAAGGGAAAGACAAAATGATTATGCAGACGTCTGCTTTCTTTCGATGGTTGGAAACAGCTGAGGAAGAATAGGATTTCGAAAAAACCATTAAACCGATCGTTTTTTTTTACAGGAAAGGTATCATTAGTCATTTTCATGTTCTCCTCTCCTTTAGGGAACTCGGATGGTTGCGGTAAGCCCTTGTGAAGACGTCGAGATGAAGGTGAGAGTCAGCGTGTGAGGTTTTTTCTTCTGGCGTCCTCTCACCGTCAAAAAGTATGCAATTAGCAACGGCGATGTGGGCTTCCCACCGCCCTACCGCACAGGTGCAGTTCAAGTCATACAGTGCATCGCCAGAAGGAGCGACCGGAAGCCAATTGAGTGCCTTGAGCCCGAAGAGTGACTTATGTTTAGTGTAGTGTAGTGCTTCGATCACCCTGTGACCACCTCTAAACTTGTGCGACTGCAATTGGTCTCTCTCGCCTACATGATGTGTGGTACTTCTACGGACAGCGTAACTAGACGAGTGTTCCTCAGGCACCCGAGGGAAAGGAGATACAGCTTCAAAAAGCAAACGCCATTTGAAGAAGACTTAGGCAGTGAGTTGATGCATCATCTTTGTTTCAGTTGACACACGTGATCATTATCAGCCAATGGTACTGGGTCTGGAAGGACTTGAGATCGGATACTCTCGGATAAAGATAACTTTACTCTTGTTTGCTCACGGTCAAGTGGACAGTATCTCTGAAGTGTAGAACGCATTCCATGTTTCGCCACCACGTTGGCATACGTCTCTCGTGATGATACCGTAGGGGCATGTTCAAAATGAAGGTGTTTCAGGACAGTATTTTACAACATGTACAGGCGAATTCGAACTCTATTTTTCTTTGGGAAGTAATATTTTCGCAATGAAAACCGCTGTGTAATGGCCAAAAGAATTGAAAGAAGAGCCCGTCTTCAATGCAGTGAATTAGTTGCCCATGTACTATTTTGTCCTCGACGACGTTCGTTGAAGGAAGCAAAGTGCATTGAAAGAATTTTTGAGACTTTTCAGTCAGTTTTTTCAGTAGTACTGCCCGGCATTCCTCCCAAGCCCGAACTAGTTGATTTGACGAAGCATACGCATCGTAGGTTTACCCGTGCAACATTGGTTGTACTTTGATCGCTTTCCAGCAACAAGTGCCTGAAAGAAATGAAAACAATTGTTTAGTGCGTAGGGTACTGTGCCCAAATATGTAGTACACGGTTTGCGTCTCAGGAATGACGCATTACTTTTCTGATTGTCATACAAGAGTTTCACTACAATACACTACAATACACTAATTAGTATCCGTCACAAGAACTCATCCTCGATGCTCCAGGACAGCAGCGGTACAACGATAAACTTTATGTTCTTAGCAAAAGAGTGGAGCGGGCACATTCAGAGGTACAGTACGAGTTTTGGTCCACAGCACTGCGGGGCCATTGTACAGTATCTATCCCTGTGCACACTTCAGCCTTACAACGTTATGGGCTATAGTGCGCTACTTTCGTCTTCATTATCTTTAAACTCTATCTCCACTCAAAACAACCGCTCTTCAAAAAGTTGCTCGCAAAGACAACTTGGCGGTCCTGAAAGTCTCTTTGCCCTCCCTCTTTGAATCTCCAACTATAGAGATTGTTGTGGACTTGAGAGTCCCGCCTGGCTGACCCGCTATCAGTCTGAAGGCCCATGTAAAAGCGAAACTTCAGCATCACTTTAGCAAAACTTGAAAGAACCCCCCCCCCCCCCCCCCCCCCGCTTCTCGTCGCGTCAATTCTCAGGGCTCTCTCGAGTTTATTTTCTTGTATAAACCCAGTTTCAGAGCGTTCTTCTTCGGCCAAGTTGAAGAGTGAGAGAGTGGTGGTGTACCGATGTGCGGACAACACTTTGCCAACATCTTTATACTCTCAGTGCGCACTGTAGGCTACCGACATCTGGCACGAATGTGGCCTGCCGTCAGGCTAGGGACTGAAATGGAAGAACACTTCCCATAAATGGCGGGGGAGCAATCCCCCCGACAGAAAAGTCCTACCCGTATTGTACAAACACTCTGTGTTCTCGACTTCAACTTTTGCAACAAATTATTTTTCAACATGGGAGGTGGAAGCCTGAGCGCCTTTATACTCGGCCAGTACATGTGCTCAAAGCGATCCTGTTGGCCCGGCTGTCCGTGTATGGATGATGATAATGATGATAGTGATGATGATGATGATGATGACTGCAATACATGCTCTTGTTACACGGAATGCTCAAAGAAGAAACCTTGCGTGGTGAAAGCGACATACAAGGTGAAGCATTCATGGGATACGAAAGTTACGTGTACTTGCCTCTTCTGCAGAGTGAAGGCCAAGAAAAAGTCATCTTGCAATCACTGCTAATCTTGCGCAAGGACAGGAAAGGGAAGAAGCAAAATTGGCACTAAACAATGTATGGATGTTTCTGTCCTTCGCATTTTTCAGTGGATTGTCGTTCTTCTCACGGAAAAGAATTGCCTGTTCTTCGACATTTCAATCCCGTAGTATAATCAATACTGCTGCGCAGAGAAAGTTTCCTATAGACTGTGCAGCCTACTGCACGGGCTCGCACATACGTTCAGAAGGTATGACGAGTTGCTACTCCGGTGATGCATCCGCTATACTCGCAGAGTTGTTTGTACCACCCTTTGCCCGCGCGATCGACGCAGTCCGTTCGGAGGATTCCAATAACGCCACCTGCATCAAGACAGCAACAGCAGTAAAAGCAGCAGTTTCGACTCTAAGTCTGTTCGACCCAAGTCCGATTTTCAGTGCCCCAACCGCCTCCAGCTTTTCTTCCTCGGTATCTGTAAAGCCTCCTTCCGGGCCTACAAGCACAGCGATATTCCTTGCTGCCCGTACGGCGTCTGTACATCGCTGCCCTAGAATAGGAGTCCCTGCAGCGGAGAGCAATAGCACTAAGTCCGATTGCGAAGCGAGCTCAAGCAACTCTCCCCAGTTAGAAGTGGTTTGGACGATAGGCACATCAGTGCGCATGCTCTGTTTCGAAGCTGCTACGGCAAGGCGAGCCCATCGAGCCAAGCGCGCTTGATTAGGGGCAGCGGCGATGACGCGTTCCGTACGAGCCCAAACGAGACGATGGACGCCAAGCTCAACGAGCTTTTCTACGATGCCGTCTGCACGCGAGGGAGATTTCGGCAAGGCAATTATAGCGCATATTGATTTCGATCGAGCCTCTGCCGAGGTAGTTGTAAGGACGGTGACAGAGCTTTCCGAATCTAAAGTCGCAGTTGCAAAAGCGCCGGTGCCATCGAAAAGCGTTATTTGTGAACCGTGGCGGATTCGGCGAGCTCGAAGGTGAGCTGCTTCTTCCGGGGGGAGTGTATACTCTGCGCCTGGGTGGAATGGACCTGAGAGGAAAACCCGAGTAGAAGAAGTGGCCTTCCCCCGAGTGTATGAGGCGATAACTGGCCTGGTAGTTAGTCTGCATCTCCTTCGAGACAACGATTGCTTGAAGGGGGTTAAGCACTTGACTTGGAACGGATGAATAAAAGATGAGGCCATACCCCCATCCCGACCCTGTGGTGTATTGAGAGCGTGTTGCAATACAAACAGCGTTGGCCAACCTTTGATGCTCGCAATGGTGGAGAGTCGAGAGCTTAGACGACTTTGACAGAGTGTGCCTGGGCCTGTGGGAGGTACCGGTGTTGTCCTCAGTAACCTTGGCTTAACCTTCGGCTAGGTGCAGTAACGGCGGTGGTTCATGGGCACTGGGAAGTTCGTCCAATGAAAACATGACAAGTCACAAGAATGGCAGAAACTTGGCGAGCCGGGTGACGCAGTCGCGTTGTGGAGATCTGCCAACTGCAATCTCAATCCCCCTCTACTGCGCACCCCCACTTCCCATGAGTTTGCACAGGTCGTCGTCGGCCGTCCTCCCGTTTCTATGTGCGTTCCTCACACCATGCCCCAACTGCAGCAGACCAAGCTTACATTTGCTCTCGCAGCCCCTCTGCCGCTTTTTTCCACTCGATGGCGCCCCCCCCGCCAGTCCCGATATTACCGCTATCGCCTCATGTCACGCTCTGTCGCTGTCGCAGCAACTGACACTCCTCTCGCCGACGATCCACCCGGACCGACTTTCGCACCACCGCCACCGCAGACTTCATCAAATGAAAAGGATTCACTCCTGATTGACCCAGATGATCGTGAGTTTGTCGAATGGGCATCTACGGCTGAGCGCGACGTCCCTACCGAGCTTCCCGATGAGGCAGATGAAGACATCATTGACTTGGTTACCATCGATGATGGGCCAGCCCCACCCATTCTCGAGGATGAACAGGACAACGAGGAAGTCGAGCTTGAAATTGTCGGCGAAAATGTAGATGACGAAGACGACGACACTGATGATGATGAAGATGGTGATGAAGAGGAAGACGAAGACGAAGAGCTCGCTGCTCAGGCTGATGCAGAGGACTATGAGGATGATATTCCGATTGCAACTCTCTCAAAGCGCGGAGGAAGGATCTCCACCGGCTCCCGCATGTCTGGACCGCTCGCAGCTGTCGATGTTGACGACAACGATGACATCGATGACGCTGACGAGATTCTTGAGACAATTGATGATGATATTCCTCCCATTTTTGACGGCCCTGCTGCACTGGAAGAAGAAGTCCGTCCAGCTATTGATGGCGTTGACGAAGAACTTTTTGTGGAAGTTGATGAAGAATCCGAAGAAGACATCCGAAGCGCTGCCGATATTCTCTCCAACAGCGGCCTCTTGGGCCTTGGAGTCGAAGGCGGAAAGCGTGCAGATATGTCTGAAGTAACATCCTTCGCCATGGGAGGTGTAGAGGGCCCAGCTCGTCCTCCGGCTCTTGCGCAGCCTGAGCAATATGACGATGAGGTCGCTTTGCTTGATGTTGACGACGAGGATTTAGACGAAGAGGAAGAACAGAAAGAGGAGTTACGAAAGGAAAAGCAGAGTTTAGAGAGTTACATGGACGCAGACAGCGAAGAAGATGATGACGACGATATTCCTCTAACCTCCAAGTCGAGTTCCGGTAGAATATGGGAACTCAATGATGACAACTACGTAACTATTACTGAGCCAGGACAAGCATACGCGTATGAATTAGATGAAGAGGACGAAGAGGACCAAGAGATGTCCACCATGCGGAGAGGTAAGCAAGGGGGCTGGAGCGGTGGCCTGGCGTCGTATTCGGCTCGAGATATGCCGGAAGGCTCACCGGAGTGGGTTGCGCGACGTGCATACGAACTGGTCGCCGAGTCCAACCAAGTCGAAATGTTCCAGTGGACTCGGCGTCACAGAGGCCCTCCCCCCATAATCGACAAACTGTATCCAGCGGACCCGCCTCCGCCGCCGCGGATACCGAGAACGAGGCTTCAGTTTTCTACTCCTGACATTGATGCGAGCATTGTGGGCACGGACTCATCATCTGTAGAAGATGAACAGGGAAGAAAGCGAACACCTGCCCCGGAAAAAGTGGAAGGAAGCCACGCACTCGACAGGGCTGTGAATTTTCCTTGCCAATACAAATTTAAGGTTGAAGGTAGTGGAGACGATCTCATAGATGCACTTATCGCGGATACTGAAAAGATTCTGGGAAGACCCGTCCCGGATTCCGCCGTACATGTTCAACCTGCAGGTAGGTACAAGAGGGTGGAAATAATGGTGGAGGTGACAAGCGCACGGCAAGTAACAAACTTGTACGATACATTGCGGAATAACTCAGGGGTCAAGTACAGTTTCGGGTAATGCGCATATTTACTGACTAAGGGTGAGACAGGATTGCTGCCTGTAGGTGGTTTCGGACCATATATTATCAAGTGTCTATATCGAGCTGAAAACAAAACTTGTCTCTGCCCTTAGCCTAACGGAACTGAAAGATTACATATTCGCAACGGCACCGGTCACATCACCGGCGTAAGCGTTTGACGGTTGCTGCTGCTCTTGAGTGATCTGAATTTTTCCGGGAGCCTGTAGTTTCGCCAAATTGTAACTCCTCGCCCTTGTCCTTTCCACCACAAATTCCTTGCCAAGCGCTCGCAACTTCAGAATAGCTGCATCAGTATCCCCGGTTGCATTTTGCCATACACGAACTGCCTCTGTGACGAGATTTTTCGCTCGTTCTGCGGCCTCCCGTGCAGCGATTGCGATGCTTTCAGAATTTTCGTTCGAGGCACCGGCGCGAATTTGACTTGCCGAGAAGGGGATAGAGGGCATGAAGTCCTTTGGAACAGCCCTCTCCAGGAACCTCTCCGCCTCAATCATTGCGACAGTTTCGTCAATTCCGTCCATACCTAGTGCCGGCTCGAGTTGTTCATCACGAATACCTAGAGCACCGCATAACTCATCCAGACCATCCATGCGACAATTTGTATCTAGTACCCACTCTCGAAGCATTTTGTCGCGCAGCCTGCACGAACTTGGTGCCCCTATTGCCTCGACAAGTAGTGCTTGGACAATTCCAGGTTCAAAGCAAGGACCACGATCATTGGTCATATCTAGTAGTCGTCGAAGACTGCCCATTGGCGTAGTAAATGAGCAATGATCACAAGAAACCCAGCATGAAGAGGATTCATCTGCTACTGCTGTAGGAGCTACGGTGGATGCCGAGGATGCCGCTTGATCCGCATTTGGCGAACCCAGTAGGGCACCGCATCCATCGCACAGGAGAATTAGAACATTCCCAATCAGCAACTGGCCCCGTCCGTTTCGAAGACGTCGCATTGTTACGGGAGGTGGCGATGTCGCAGGGCTTAGAGATGAAGCAAAAAGGCCTGGATGGCGGCTTCGTTCGCGATGACGCCAGCGTTGCAAGCGCTGATGGAGATCACGTGTGCCATCGCCAGAGGTGACGACCGACGTCGGTATCATCGCTCTGACATAGTCTCATCCAAAGGCCGGATGCGGGGTTACGGGAGGAACTTTGCCTTCGAATGGGTGAAAGAAAAAATTTCTCCGCGTAAAAGTCCGCAGAGACCGCAAATCTGCAGAGCAAAGGCATGAGAGACGGATAATTCTACGGTAACATTAAATCGGCCAATATTCATAGCATAACCCATTACTACTCTGCAAACTTGGTCGCCTCTTTTCCCCGCAGATGTCTATTCTTGAAGGAGGCACGTGGATTCAATTGCAGAAGGGATGGGGGACAAGGAGGCCACCGGTCTTTAGTGGACCTTGCCATTCTGGGCTTTCCCTCCGCATATTCTGCCTCCCTTGTTCCGTTACCATCAGAAACATTTCACGCTTGTGATCTTGTTTCTGTTTCAGCGGGTTGACGCCACGATCAATGCGAAATTCGTTGTCGACTTCGAAGTACACTGACCTGGTCAGAAAAGCAAACAGACTTTCCGCCGGACAGCGCTGAAAATATCCGAAAGGGGCACAATAATTCAACACCCATTTTCTTGTGGAAAGGGGACTGCTCTTGTTGCGCAAGCTAGTTTTAGTCGAACTTACGCAATGTTCATTTCGTTCTGTGTGCAACTTCAAGTTCTGCATCGTTTACATGTACCATATCCCCTTTTCCCGGTCGAAATGGTGCAGTTTAAGGCGGAATGCGCCCTGGGCGAGTTGATGACTGCGATAAAACCTAAACATCGTGAATATATAGTATAAAAGGCCGCTATGGTTAAAAGTGCTGATTTTGTCTATGCTGTCGTTCGCATCGACAAGTCCTGTTAGAAACATATCTCTACGATAACGACGGGAACACCTATAGAGCAATGCGTCAGCTTCTTTCGGTTGCGGCCATGGAATGGTTGAATTGATTCACGAAGATGACTCGTAGGTAATTCCGTAAACCTTCTGGTGAACAATTCAACCATGTAGAGGCCAGTTTCGATGTCCTCAGTCATTAAAACGGTCCTGACGCATCAACCGGCACTTGATCAAACAGCCAGGACCCCTTCATTGCACCATTTTTCCCTGCTAAAACTATGTTCAGCTCTCATCGAGGTCTTGGTAGGAAATTGTTTGTGTCTACACAAAATCGAATAAAAAGTCGAAAACAAAGTGTCAAAAGAATTGCGGCTGACGCTCATATTGCTATTTTGTGTTGCCTATCTCTTTAAATGAGATTTTAAGGCAGAGCGTTCAGTCCTTCTTCGTTTGAGCACGGTTAGGCTCATTGCTGTGTGCAAAAAAGACTGCGAAGGCGTTGACAAGCCTCAAAATAGCCGGAACATCTTGAATACTCGGGGTCTTCTTGTCTCCATGGTCCAGCAAGGATGTGACACATAGCTTTGTTCGAATATCTTCTCTGTCCCTGAGTGCATCTCTGATGATAACAGATTCCTGGCATGGAACGACGTCATCGGTCTGAGAATGGACCAGCACGAGGGATTCGAGCTTGAGAGCGTGGAGATATTCGATAGGAGACATGCCTTGCATAACGGAGAGATTGTCCTTATACGTGGCCTCTAGGTATTCCTCCAAAAACACAGAATCGTCCTGCAGGCGGTGGTACGTTTTCGCGGCGTCAGGATGCTGTGGTAGCAGGGTCTGCAAAATGTGGGCATCGGCGTGCCTTCCTAAGTTCTTGTAGTGGTCATCGTCGACGTATGCGACGAGAAGATCCCTGAGGGCGGTCCTCGGCTTGATAAAGCTAGCGAGAAGCGAATTGGAGGCGTAGCGCGTATCGCCCTTTCCGCGGCGGGCAATGATGTGTCGCATGACCGACTCGACGGAAGAGTGTGTGCCAATAGTGAGGACGGACTGCATGACCTCTGGGGCGCGTGCGGCGGCGACGAGGCTGAAGCCCGCGGAGATGCATGTGGAAACGATAGAAAGGTTGGCCGAGGGCGTGAGAGTTTTGTCGTTTGCAATGTGAAGAAGGAGGGAGTGGATGAGGTCGACGGGGTTTTCGGCGAGGTCGCATTTGGCGAGAGGGGGGATGTGCGGGACGAGGACAAGGGTGGAGGGCTGTGCCGTGGCGATGGCGGTGGCGAGATGGAGGATACGCGGGTCGTTGTGAGCGGAGGGAGCGAGACCGTGGATAACGAGGATGGTGCGGGCGTGGGGGGGAGGGGGGAGGGGGAAGGTGGATACGATGTGGGTTTCGAGGGGCGTGGAGAGCGGGAGGGTGCGAGTGGTGATGGTTGGGGGTGGGGCGATGGGGAGGTTGAGGCCTAAGTTGAGGAGGGTTAGCAGCGCGTAGATGTGTGAGGAAATAACGGTGGGAAGGTGGGGGAGCAGGCGGTGCAAGAGGGAGAGAAGGTAGAACAAAATGGCGGTGATCATGATGCAAGTAGGTGGGGAGCTGGAGAGCGGTGGTGAGAGCAGGTTGAAACGAGGGAAAGGTGGAGGGGAGTATGTGGAAGGGAGTGTGTGGAAGGGAGTACGTGGAAGGGCTTATCGATTGTGAGGGTTGCTCATATCGATGAGGAGGCGTGCGGGTGGAGAAATGAGATGGTTGATGGTCGCGTAGTGCGATGGGACGCGAGAATTGGGGGAAGCGTTTGAGTGGGATAACAGGGTGGGTGAGAGAGCGACAACACGAGGCAGGAAGAAAGGAGAAAAAGATGCAAAGAATCGGAATGATGGGAGTTGGTGCAGCAGGGCTCATCTGGATCCAGGATTTTGATTGGCTGTAATCCCTAGTTGAGAGCACTTTGCATTTTGACTTCATTTCGACTTTAGATCAGTGTACTTTAGATCAGAGATCTGATGCAGACTCAGTCTCAGATTAACACGTGTCAGTCGTGGCGGTGCAATAACGACACGTGTCATGTCGGCACAATCATGATCGCAATCTCAAGATTATTAACCAACCTTCGGTTGACAGTGGATAATTACAGACTCAAAGAGACGAAAAAGTATCACTAAAAGTCGAGTGCATACTTGGGCGAGCGAGATTACTGAGCCGTGTTGTGGCAATCGAGCGGCGGCCACTGGACTTAGGACCTGGCCAGGCGCTCAATTTTGGGGGTTGAGCTCGCCCTCCCAGGCATTCTCCCCATCCCCTTTGTACCCCCTGCCACCCTTCCTTTTTTGTTTACGTCACCGACCGCCCCCCCCACCCCCTCCCCCCCCCGGCGCGACCGCCCTCACTTCCCCTGCCCCACATCCTTCCCTTTCCTTTCCACGTCATTCCCCAGCCATGGCCTTCGTCAACTCCTTCTACGGCCTGCCATTCGCCTCAAACCGAGCCAATCCGGTCTCCCGCAAGTCATGTTCGCGTCTTTCCTACCCAACACGAATGGTCGCCACCGCCCGCCCCCCCGCAAGCAACCAGTCTATGTCCAAATTTGACCGCATGCGCGACAAATACGGCCTCAAGCGTGTCCAGCCGAAAAACTCGGGCTTCACCTACGAGGATTTCGAGACCGCCATCTCAGAGTTTGACTATTCCTTTGAGGAAGGTGATATTTGCAGTGGTCGCGTCTTCCAATATGAGCCCAACGGCGCCCTCATTGACATCGGTGCGAAAGCTTCAGCTTATTGCCCGGTCGCCGAGATGTCCATGATCCGTGTCGATAAGCCTGAACAGGCCCTCACCATTGGAGAGGATCGCGAGTTTCAGATCATCTCCAGAGAAGATGCCAACGGCCAGCTCAAGCTCTCCATCCGCAGAATCGAATTTGGAAGGGCCTGGGAGCGTGTCGCTCAGCTCCAAGCAGAGGACGTCACCGTTCACGCTGAAGTCATCTCGGTCAACAGAGGAGGTTGTCTCGTCATGATCGAGGGACTTCGCGCCTTTTTACCAGGTTCTCACATCTCCCTTCGCACCCCGAGAGAAGACCTGGTTGGCGTCGAATTGCCCCTCAAATTCCTCGAAGTCGATACTGAGAAGAACAGGCTTGTCGTTTCACACCGTCGCGCTGTCGTCGAGAAGCAGATGACCAATCTAGTTGCCGGTGAGATTGTTAAAGGTGTGGTCCGCGGTATCAAGCCTTACGGTGCCTTTGTTGATATTGGTGGCATCTCAGGATTGCTTCATGTCTCCCAGATTTCTCATGATCACGTTGCCGACATCGGCGCAGTTGTGCAAGACGGTTCCGAGATCAAATGCATGATCATTAACCAGGACAAGGAGAAGGGCAGAATCTCTCTCTCAACTAAGACTCTTGAGCCAGAGCCCGGAGACATGATCCGCGACTCTGCCTTCGTTTACGAAAAGGCTGACGAGATGGCCGCCCGCTACCACAAACGCCTGGAAGAAGAACGAAAGGCTGCTGCTGATGTTGCCGATGATATCGTTTCCACTCTTGACATGGCTTCGTTAGATGACTTGGGCGTCGATCCCGTAGCAACAGAAGCCGCTTAAGAAACTTGACTCTGTCGCCTGCTGTGTTTTTGATTCGTGCCCAACTTACTCTGGTATTAAACGTATTGAGAAGGACGAATGGAACGACTTTTCACACTTGCCCAGCTACGCCGAGTACAGCAACAAAACGCTTGTCAGTAGATTTCCGCCCATGGCAACTTGACGAATCGATCATAACTACTTCGAATCAGGAAGTGAGGAGGATCCAATCGACAGAAACACTGACGTGAAATGCCTTGAACAAAGTCCCACGCTCAGCCTTTTGCGTGAGAGTGAAGCAAACTTTCCGGAAACGCGTTGCCTGCCTTGTATGTTATCGTCATGCTACGATCAGAAAGCACGAATAGCGACTCGTTTTTTGTGCAGTACACGCTCTTGGTCAAGGCTTTCATGAAACCAGCTCTTTCACATACTGTTATAGAGACGTTTTCTCCTCTAGGATCTGTCCCTGTGAATGGTGATAATAATCATTTCTTGCTTCCGAAGCCTAACAAAACTTCGCCGTAAAGTTTAGAATACTTCGTTTTTCAGTATGTTCAGAATTTTGGCCATGCCTTTTTTTTATTCTTGTTTAGTTTAACAATATTTGCCAAAATCGCTTCAATCATCACTCTGGTTGTAGGCAATAATCAGAAGGAAACCGCTATGGTTCTGCAAAATGAGTTAGTGTTCTACTTGCATGAGTGGAGTTGCTAGAACGGGCGGGGACCAAAACCACTATCCTGCTGTATCACCACCAGTTCTTCGACACAATTCAGACTTGTCTGGTCAATAGATGCCGATCCGCCAGTGTCGGTCAAGAAGATATACATGTTTTGTCAGCACATCTTTTTTTTCAAGTTGGTGTTTGTAGTACGAGACATGCGTTGTGATGCCTTCGTTGTGAGCCATTAGTCTCGTCGTGGCTGTTTAAGCTCCCCTTTCTTTCTTTTGAGGTGGTAGCGAGATCCCAGTAGCTCCAACAAGCACGACTGGATCACGTTTTAGTAGATCCGAAGTGAATGCCGATGCAGAAACGATTACAAGGACGAATCGTTTTCGCTATTTTCCAGGAAGAGCCTATAGATAAACACTTGAACAATACCACGAAGCCCCCGGCTTCTTGCGCATCATTCAAAGAACCTCCCTTTAACTTGCCTCTTCCATCTATTTTTTCCCTCTGGCTTTCTGCACAAAAGTGAACCCCAAAGTCAATCGCTGTGGTATATCTCAGAGTTGAAGTGGCAACTATTCTTTTCGCGATTGAGCTGGGGGTAAACTTATCTTCCTGGCTGCATTAGTCGAAAGAAGATGCGTTCCTTTCTGTCGCGGTGCCCAGGGGGAAGACAGTTTCTCTCAACCACAGAATCAGTGCTCTCAACGAACGGGTTCGCTTATACCTTTCTCGGTCTGTATGTGGCTTGCAACGTGCTATTATTTCTCGATGCTGCCGTCATGGAGGCCAACTTACACACAGATTTTCAAAAATACGTAACCGCAATTGCCCGAGGATGTGGAGCCACCATCAATCTCAACATGGGCGTCGTGATACTTCTCGCTTCAAGATCAACGTTGAGTTTCCTGAGGGAAACTCCTTTGAATATGGTCTTACCACTTGATAAAGCAATGCCAGAACTCCACAAAGTTGTTGGAATACTGATCGTGAATGCAGGTATTTTGCACTCCGCAACACATTGGGCTACCTACATAGCGAAGAAGCCATGGTTGGGCGGTTTCCAAGGAAGTACATCCCTTTTTGTAAGTGGGACGATTTTGCTTATTTTGGCGGTAGCAATTCGGGTTGTAGCAAGGACCGTCGTGTATCAGTCAAACTACGAAGCCTTCTATCGCATTCATGTAGGAGGTGCTATTGCTATGTTTATCACTATTGTGATCCATGGACTTCACTACGGGGTTCCCAATACTTGGAAATGGATTGTTGGACCCGCTATTATTTACGTTATTGACGTTAGCGCGAGGACATTTCGAGAGAAGAGATCATATCTTCTTGTATCCAAGCATTCAGCAGTGTTCCAAGGTCCCGACATTTTGAAGATTAGACTGCCGCGAGTCTTTCATTTTGTTGCAGGTCAATATGCGGAACTCAAAGTGCCTGCAATTAGCCATTTTCAGTGGCATCCATTTACAATAGCGTCTGCTCCTCACGAAGCAGAGATGACTTTCTATATCAAAGCTGTTGGTGATTGGACTATATCCTTGTACCAACTTTTTGGAGAACGGATACGTTCTAATGGAGCCGATATTGAGGTGCACATCCGCGGACCCTTTGGTGCGGCCACGCAACACGTAGGACAGTTTGACAGGGTTATTTTGATCGGTGGAGGTGTCGGGGCAACTCCTTTCTGTTCGGTCACAAAAGACTCGTATAACTGGATTTCCAACTGGACTCCTTCGAAGAGGAAGAAACAAAGCAAGAGCCCTCTAGTACGCAACTTCATTGAAAATCGGCCTCGTGGACGGCGTCCCTTCAACATCACAGAGGACTCTGCCCGGAATTCTCGTAACGAGGAGCACCGTTCCAATCCTCGTCATGGTTCCAGATTAGCAAGAGCTGCAGACTCGGAAACATCAGATTCTCACATATTCACGACAAACGTCTTTTCAGAGACTCTAGCTCTGTCAGACTTAGCACGGATGAGCGACGCAGGTGAGTCTGTGGAAGAGCTTATCTCTTGGAGAGGAAGACAAATGGGTCATGCAATGCTAGAATCCCTCCAGAACTCGCCGGAACAAAGCAACGACAGGGGCAACGACAATCAAGACGAGCAAGGGGAGACTTCAAATTCTGGGAGAGAATACGTTTCCGCAGAGGGCTCATCCTCGAACTCAGCTGAGACTGAACTCAACTTTAGAAATAACATGGGAAACGCACATGAGACGTTGCAGGCAAGTCAATTCGACGCACGAGCGTCTTCCAGATCATTAAGCAAGCACGCAACTGCCTCTAAGGCCTCAACAACGAGGAAGTTTGCTCAACCGTTCTCCAGGTCTTTACAGGCGTACGGTGATGAGGATGGTATGGGTTCTTATCGCGAGAACTCGTCGGGTCACCAACGACAGAGTGTTGATTACTATTCAGCACTGTACTCTGCCTACTCTGACCAAGAAAACAACGAGATCTACCAAAAGAGTTTGCACATGATCGTTGGAATGAGCTTCGGGTCCGTTTCTCTCGTAAAAAATATGCAAAGGCGCCGAGCGCGCAAAAACATAACGCAAGCAGGTGCAGAGCAACTCCCGGTGGTAACGGAATCTGAAGATCTTCGCATATTTGACAACCCACGGGTTTTGTTTTTGTTATTTCTGCGAAGCGTGACTATAAACATGGTGCTGCTTTGGCTCCTCATCATTCGCTTTATCCTGGCTGGGACAGCGTACGTTTTCGATGGACTTCGGGTTTTCGACAATAGTATAGCAATTTACAAGAGTTCTACTCTCACAAAAGTGGATTTGGTTCTGGTATGCTTGGTGGTATTGCTTGTTGGCATCCCGTCTGTTTTGGAGATCGTCGAACTCGGTGCTGCCCCTGTACACGGAATCGATCTATTTGTGCTCACGCCTCTCGCTCTCTTTGGTTTGGTGGCTGACTCCGCCGTCCTGCTCGGGGTTGGAAATAACGTCCAACTATTCGCAGTTATCCATCTCTTTGTGATTTGGCCCATATTGGCGATACTCCTCATGATGCGGTTACTGCGTGTGATTGGAGAAAGAATTGCACAAGCGGAATGCCTTCTACAGACGCACTCAAGCACCAAAGCAGTCGATTTCTACTGGACCGCTCCGACACCAAATGACGACAAATGGCTCGTCAACGAACTTGCGCCATACTCTAACAATGAGAAGGTGCAAATGCACCGCTACCTCACAAGAATCACCGAGGCGCCAACAAATACTGTAATACAACCTCCGAATAAGCAATACCTTCATACAAATTACGGACGACCCAAATGGAGCGAGATACTGAATGAAACGGCAGAGAACTGCAAAAACAATACAACCATCGGAGTATTCTTCTGCGGCCCTCATTCGATGGGCCAGGCGGTGCAGGATGCGTGTATGGACGCAATGAGGAACAGCATCATTCGAGGACTTCACTCTGGGGCGCATGCGATGCGACGTCTGGAAGAGGTCTTCGGAGAAGCCGTATCAGCGAACGTGTACACAGGTGAGAGGGCGGACTCGAAGCGTGCAGGTGCCAACGGGTGTAACGTGAAGTTTGTTTTCAAGCGGGAGTCTTTTGCATAGGAATTAGATGTCTAGATCGAAGGCCGTGCCTGACTCAGTCACTAGACGTTGTAAAGATGTGTCGGTGGTATGCGGAGACAAACGCAAACTTCTGTCCCTTTAGCCCATGTGAAACGCAAGAAGTATGGCTGTGATTGCAAGATGCCATGTGTACGTGTAAAGCGTCATGCGTCCTTGTGTACGTGTAAAGCGTCATGCGTCCTTGTCCTTGTCCGTGTCTTTGTCCATGTCTCCGGCTGTAGCTGCAGGTGTGCCCTCGATCTTTCGGCGATATTCGTCCTTGATTTTCATTGATATCGGTCTCCAAAGGGCAGGGAATGCTGTAGCGACTCGAACAGTATTGAGCTCTTTCGGTCTTGCAATCCAGGCTTTATGCAAGCCAGCGGAAACAGCGGCCAGCATGCGGTCGGCCACGCGGTCAGCATCCAGGCCGTTCTCAATGTTGGGGTCTGTCTTCCCATGGCGCTTACCCCCCTTACCCATAGCGTTAATGCAAATTCGAGTGCGAACGCTACCCGGGAAAATATTGACGACTCGGATCAGAGGCTCTTCCAGCTCGAGGCAGGTAAAGTAGGCAGCCATAGCTGCCTTGGCAGCGCAATAGGTGGAACGCAACGGGGTGTTAACTATAGCAGCAATGGAGAGGGTGTTGATGATGAGGCCTGGTCCGCCTGGAGATTCACGCAAGGCCGGTAAACAAGCGCGGGTGATGGCAGCTTGAGCGAAAAAGTCGATATCAAACATGTGGCGGACGTGCTCAATGTCTAAGTCGGCGGCGGACGATCTCTGGGACACACCGGCGTTGTTAAAAATAAAATCCAGGCGGCCGTGCATCTCCGGGACAGTTTCTGCGAGACGTTCTAGGACAGCTGTATCCGCGGTGAAGTCAATGGGGAGGATGTCGACGTTGTCCCGTGAACAGGGCAGGGAGGCGGCCACGCGTTCTAGGTCTTCCTTGCTGCGAGAGGAGAGGACAAGCAGGGCGCCTTCGCGTGCAAGGCGGTGGGCGAGAGCCTCGCCGATACCGCTGGAGGCGCCGGTTATCCATGCGACTTTACCACAGAAGGCGCGTGTGGAGACGCGGGAGAAGTAGGTTTGGGCATCGCAGTCGGAAAAGAAGATGAGGAAGAGAAAGCGTGCGGTGTAGAGAATGATAAACAGTCCAAGGGCAACGAGGAAGTTGTTTGTGGATGGTTCGATCATGTCTCTGGTAAATGATGATGCGAGAGGTGTGGAAGGGTGCAGTTGAGATGGGGTGTGTTAGAGAGGAACGGGCGCAGGGGGATGGGATGAGGGGAACGGGAGCAGGAAGGTGAGAGAGCTTGAAGGGGTCTTTGCCTGTGGGACGGGACTATAAAGCAGCCCTTCCGTATCAACTGGAGCGGATAGGTAGGGTAACACGGAGATGAGCTGCTGTGCGCGGATCACGAGTGTGGCAGTCAAGAGGGAGTGGCGTCGCGATGAGAAGCAGTTCCGCATGGCCCGCGGAACGATACTGGAATTGCGCATGCCGCTCATTCGGCCAATGGGCACACGGAAACGGAATCGGATAATCTGTAAGGGACCACTGATCGGCGGACAGCGTCTTTCATTGGGCGATGTTTGAGGGGGAGTGTAAAGCTTCAGGAACACGTATCGCCACAACCAACGTCTCGCCACGTGCACTCTTCTCCTCCCTCCTCCTCTCTTCTCCCCCTCGTTGCTTTGTTGTTGCAAATGCCGATGCCGCCTGACCGCCCTGTCTTTGAGACAGTCTTGTTCTCTCCTCGTCACAACACTCCGTGATGTAGACAGAACTATTCTCAATCTTCCCCCGGTCTCATACACTATACTGTATTACAGACTTGCCCCCAGGCGCATGCCATTTGCATTCGCCCCACAAAATGGCATCCCCCACCGACACCCTGTGCGGCATATCAAACTTCGCAATCCCTCTTGCCGCCCCCAAGCGTGTGTATGAGAATGCATATTTGCATCAAAACGGGAGGAGGCACTGCAGCACATTCTAAATTTAACTTTGAATTTAGGTTCTTGGTTGTTGGTGCGCCGGTGAGGCAACTGTTCGTTGCCGGTCACATGCACCGCGCTCGTGAACGACCGGCCCGAACGGCATTGGAAATATTCTGTATACGGTGCACAAGATTGGAACCGTTTGTATCTAAGAATTAGAGTTTTTATTTATTACAAACGTACACAACTTCACCTTCCACGGTCTGCGGTACCCGAGACGGCGTGGAAGGACACTCTAGCACTACATACAGCAGGTATTTAAATAGCCATCGTCCCGCGTGGACGGTAAGAAAAATACAGAACAATGAACACCTTCACTTCAGACTAGTCACCCTCCCGGCGGCCGACCGCTCCGGGATACGCAATAGTTGTGGAAAAAAGGATACTGCAGTGGTCTCTTCCCTCGAAAGAATAGTGAGTTTACGCCTGAGAATTCTGGAATTACACCTGAAGAAATGTGAGACAACGGTGTCACAACATTCTGCATGCCCTGTTTCAATACACGCACACGTGTAAGCAGCTCTTATCGCACACGTGCGGAAGGGTTCTGTTTACGCTTGACCAACACAGACGCACGGGAGTAATACAGACCTTCCCTCCCTCTTCCGCAGACCTTTCCTTCCTCTTCCGCAGAGCTTTCCTCCCTCTTCCGCAGACCTTCCCTCCCTCTTTTCTAGACCGTCCCTCCCCAGACATTGTCTCCCTACCCTTCACTGTGCGATTGAGATGCCAATCCGATCAAGAGCTCGGCTTCGCGATCAGACGTTGTCGAAAACTCAAGCGCAGGTGGCACGGTGCCGTCGGGTCATAATTAGACTTCTTCGCCGTCGGCGAACAAACCCAGATCGCGCCTCACTGGCCTTGACAGCAGCCTTGCAGATATACACGTCCCACAGAAACAACTTTATCGCACAACTTCTACGCCACCACCTCATCTCAACTGCAAGTTTCCCGTTCAATTTTAATCGTTTTTCATGTGAGGACTGCTTATCGCTGTTTCGGTTTGAGAAAAAACACATTGTTCATCTCTCTCAAATCCCAGAATGGCCGGAGGAGCAGACATGCAATGCGCGGAAACGGTTTGGGGTCATGCCATTTCTCTCGACATGTATTTTACTAAGTCGTATGGCGTGCCCCTTCAGATCGCTAGATGTTGAAGAGTTTTTCGGAAAGGGCGCTTCCCATCTATCCGAAATATTCTGGGAGATGCTTGAGGCATTTTTGGAAACACATGAGCATCTTATCGTCTCCCCTTTGAATTCGTCTTACTTGCAAGCCAAATTACCCTACTTTGCTGATTGTATACTCCGAAAAAGCAATGCCCTGAGCAACTGTGTTGCTTTTATAGATAGTACGGTGATCGGGGTGTCTAGACCTGTTGATAGCGGATGTCAGCATTTACTGTATAATGGCCTTAAAAGAAAACATGACCTTAAATATCAGGCCGTGTTGACGCCAGACGGTATGTTGTTACGTGTTTACGGACCGCTAGAGGGGAGAAAGCATGATTGGACTCTATATACACGCTCAAGGCTCGAGAAGCAGTTGCCAAATTGCTTACAACTGGAAGACGGTACGAATGTTTGTATATATGGCCATAGAGGATACATGTGGTACAATTTCCAAGTGGCGCTACTGTACTAGGCTGGTACCAGGGGCTCCGCCGAGTACAGTAGTAAGATGTTAACCGATACGGTGCATACGTGGCCGGCCCGTGTAGATGTGGCCACGTGGGAGTCCCCGTGTAGTTAGTGGCACCAGCTAGCGCAAGTGTACACGTGGTGCACGACCGATCGGTTGGTTTGTACAGTAGTCATTTTTAGTTACCGTAAGCTAAAGTAAGCTGGCTACAGTATGTACAGCTAGTTTAGTCCGTCCGGTGCCACCGCCCTACTAGGGGGTATAAGATAGGGGGGCACCGGGCTGGAGGAAAACCGAGGCAAGCACGCCTCCCCTTACTTCCTGCCCTAGTCCTTTCTCCGTACGGTTAAGTAAGACCTTCAGGTTTCCAGCTCGCCACCGGTCGTACTGCTCTACACCCCAGTACGACTGCGCGTGTTCTGCGTAGTGTACCTCCCTCGTCCAGTGCTTCCTACCGTTCCGGGTTATTCTACCTGACGCTCCAGTGTAGCGGTCCCCCAGGCTCCCTCATTTTTACGTACAGCCTGTCCTTTTCCGTTTACGGTTTAGCGTCCCTGCGGTTGTACCACAATACAGTCGCCGTCGGTATCTAGACACGCCGTTTCAGGGCTCTTCTTTATCTCCAGACCAGTCGTCGTTTAATGTGGCTATGTCTACAGTCAGGGTAACTGTTGAATAGATCTTTAAAGAAGCCAAGTTATACTGGACAATCATGGGCTTCAAAAGAAAATTACGCATAATGCAAGCGCCAGTTGGTGCTCTATATCATGAATTGCTTCTTTTGCTGAACTTTCGGACTTGCTTCTATGGGAATCAAGTATCAAGATACTTTCATTAGGAGCCTCCTACAGTACAAGAGTTTATTAATTCTAGAGTTCAGGCTTAGCTCCCAGTGCCACTGTTCTTCACAAAAGCTTGCAAAAGCAATCTATACTTCTCCAATTCCAGTTTTCTGTCCTCATCCCTCTCACGCCTACGCTCTTCTCGATCTTTATCCCACTCCTCTCTCTCGAACCCCAAACATCCTTTTTCAAGCACAAATCTTTCATTTTGCATTTCGGTTTGTGCTTTACCTCCTTTCTCAAGCGCCTCAGTAAATATCAAAATGTCGTCTTTTGAGGGGTCCGTCTGTATACGCGGCTTTTTGCTGCGTGGTGTCCTCCTGTTGGAGGACGACAACTTAGGTGTTGAGTCTTCTTCAAGTGTCTCCTCAGATGAAGAGAAAATAAGCTTGTTCGCGTGTTGTCGAATAGCTGCACCGAGTCGCTCTTTTTCGGCCTCTCGCTCCAATGCAGCAGTACGGTGCTCCTCTTTCCTACTCAATAAATCTTGCCGGGCATCCCGCATTTCTGAAAGGAGCTCTTCCATTTCCCCTTAAGAACAATTGTTCTCCTCCAACGCAGGTCATTACTTCCTCAATGCGATCATGAGTGTCAAGACGAGCCTATAGAGGCTTGTACCGATCTTGCGCCGACTTCCTGGTCAGCTCAAACAAAATCTTTCCCGTCTGATTTGCCTTCACAGCCACGATTTCGAACCGTTCTTTTGTCTCCCCGTTCGGAGATACATGTGCTTTTGCTGCACAAACTTCGCGCAGAAGAAGCGAGTCATCCTGTTTGCTAAATTTAGACTTTCTTCCTGTGCATAATTTTCGGAGTGCTACAACGGGTGAGCGCAGGGCGGGTGGAGATAGGTCCAGGGGAGCATTCAAGGAGTTTAGTTCCGTTTGTGACGTTGGTGATGGCTGGAAGACGGGAGGGAGCTCCATGACTGGGCTGGTTACGGCACAGCTTGTCGAGGGATCTGGAACACATCTGCTGAACAGTGCCTCAGAGGCGCTGTTCAGCAGATGTGGTGCAGATAAGTCGATCGAAATGGCGGAAAATCAGGAAGTCATTGCAGTTTTGGCTTCACACAAAGCTCCCATTTCAGAAACTCGCCGGGTTCCGTGTGCGGGAATTCTGGAACTGTATCTGACACGTTTGTTTAGTTGCAGAATCTTGTGTGAATGTTATGTGAATTTTTCAGGCGTAAACTCACTAATTTCACTCAACATTCACATAAGATTCTGCAATTAAATACACGTGTCGATTCCAGTTGCAGAATTCCCGCACACGGAACCCGGCGATTTGCTGAAATGGGAGATTTATGTGAAGGCAAAACTGCGATGATTTCCGGCCTTTATCAACGACTCTTCTACAAGGAATTTTCTCAACAGCGCCTCAGATCCCTCAACAACTTGTGTCGTACTCGGACCAAATCATGGAGCTCTCGCTGACCTTGCAGCCATCGCCATCGTCACCAACAAGTCCGGAGCCCTTGAATCCTTCCCTCGACCTAGCTCAAACCCCTTTGCGTTCAATTGTTGAAGCAGCTCCCAAATCCAAAACAGGAAGAAGGTCAAAATTTAGCAAACAGGACGACCTGCTCCTTCTACGCGAGATATGTGCAGCAAAATCCCACGTATCTCCGAACGGGGAGACGAAAGAACGGTTTGAAGTTGTGGCCGTTAAGGCAAATCAAACGCGAAAAGTACCGCTTGAGCTCCCGTGGAAGTCCGCTCAAGATCGGTACAAGCGTTTACAAGCTCGTTTTGACACTAAGGATCGTGCTGAGCAACTCATGAGCGGTGTTGGGGGAGAACAGGGGGAAATGGAAGAGCTTCTTTCGGAAATGTGGGATGCTCGGCAGGATTTATTGAGTAAGAAAGAAGAGCGTCGTACTGCAGCACTAGAGCGAGAAGCCGAGAAAGAGCGACTTGGCGCGGCAAGTCGCCGCCATGCGAACAAGCGTATGTCGTGCACTACAGCCACGTGTGGCGGCTGTAG